ATTAAAATAATTAGAAAACGAGTACTTTGTGTTTTCAGATAAGGATATTTTTTTTAAAGAATTTAATTTGGACTAAAAAAGGTTAGGAATCCCTGCTATATATAATAAATTACTTATTTATCTGTGAAGTATCGAAATAAATTTCACAACCGATAGTTCTACTTTCAAAGATTGTACACTATACCTACGCAAAAAAAAATATTTACTTAATTTATCTATAATTTTGCGCTCTATAGTTTTGATAACAGGTATTATTGACGTGAGATTAGCCGTTTGAGATTGTCAAAATCAATACTCTGGAAATATGTGGATTTACCAAAAAATAATGTTTCGAATAAAACAAAACGAACAACCCTTTAAATAATATATACCCATCAAAAAATGTTTCTAGTTAATTAATTAAATACAGAGAACTAGTCTGTACAGTATAACTAGGCCATCAAAAAGATTAGGCATTTTTTAGTACTTTCCAGTAAGTAATAATAATAATAATAATTTATTCATCCAAAAATATATAGTTATAAAAATACATATGGTAGCTTAAAATTATGAGAAAATTAATGAATAAGGGCACACTCGATAAGTGAGTATCCACTTGTTTCGATGAAAATACATATAGAAAAATTACAATACATCAACAGAATATACATGGAACTAAAACTAAACTATTAGGTACACGGAGTCCCGTGACTCGATGGCCATACCTTATGATCGTTTTCCTTGGAATATTTTAATTCGAAAGTGCATTCATTATACAATTTTGTCCGAGATTTTGTCTAAAACTCAGTAATTAAGCATTATGGGCAATATAAACAGAATGAGTAGAATAAAGTAAAGAACTTGTTGGATAAAATAATGTAATTATTTATAAATGCAGATTTTTTCTAGCTAACACATATTTAATTAAAATTTTAATCCAAAATCTCCCCCCGCTGCCATGCAACACATTCTTGCTCTTCTAATAATTGAAAACGTAGCTCTCTCAAGAGTACCTCATATGGATGTAGCTGCAGCCATAATATTTTGAATTAGCTTTAGTTCGTGGTTTATTTGAATACACTAGACTTTTTATGAGTCCCCAAAGATAATAGTCAAGAGGTGTTAGGTCTGGTGCTCTCGAAGGCCAGAGAACTGGACCTCCTCTTCCAATATGCCGGTTAGCAAACTCGATATTTAAATATTCTCTCACATTTACACCAAAATGAGGTGGTGCACTATCTTGCTGAAACCACATGTCAACTCTATTCTAAAGTAGATCGTCCTCATTAATACTAGCAACTCAATTTGTAAAAAAATTAAATAATGTTTTAATCTTTTAAGGTTCTTGAAATACGAATGACAAAAAAGAAATTTACTAAGAACATCACACCAAATATTCACTTAAAAGCGAAGATGAATATACGTTTCCCTGGTTTCAAAATGGATCTCAAGTGCCCATGAATGTGATTTTCTGGTATTCGTAAATTCATCTTTAGTAAACGCGACTTCATCCGTAAACATAATTTGTTCAAAAAGCTGTTGGTGTGTAATCAATCAACGACAAATGTCAACACGCGTTACATAGCCCACTGGTTGTAAATATTGAACAGATTGTATGTGATATGGGTACAAATCAAAATTGTGAATTATTCTCCATACTTTTATTTGACTAACATGAATACGATTAGTACATTTTTCGTACACTATTTTCGATCATGTTAAGATTATGCAACGCTTGGACCGCCCACGCTCATCGTCTCATCTTCCCGCGGCTCTCTAAAAAGTAACGCAAAGACACGTAGTGTTTGAGCTGCATTTTTGTCAGATCGGCGAGATTTATGTATAGTTTGTGTTAATTCGCCAGCGCACTTTTCAATTGTAGATGAAAAACATGGATGTAGTTTATATAAGTTAATAAACGAAAACATACCTTTTAAATACACGTATGAATATGAATTTGCTGATAAAAAGGACTGCGCAGAATAGAATTAATGTATAAAAAGTAGGTGAATACAGGCTATAAAATAATAATAGCTTCGTTTGGAGGAGGCGCAGGCAGAATGAGGCAGAATCTTGCAGAACATCCAATGTTTTTCATCCAGAAGTATCTTGGTCTGTCTTAGCCCCAAGAGATTGTTCCAATTTACGGTTCTTCTACTGCCCAATTCTTTTTTAATCTCTTCTATTATTATGTTACTGCTGATATCGCAGAACGGCTCAGGTCCCACAAAAGGCACAAAGGGTGTTTGAGTCCTTGCGAGACTATTTGCGAGAATATCTACAATCTCAATACCCTGTACCCTGTTATGTCCCGGGACCCAAGTGAAGTACTCTATTTTTCTCGCCAATCTTATTCAATTTTTCTAGGAATCTAGAGACCATTTTTTAGCTAATTAAATAAGAGCTCAGCGCTTTGATGGCTGCTTGGCTATCGGACATGATGATAATCTCTTGTCTACGATAGTTTCTCTAGACGTTAAACTGGATACACTTCTCGATGGCGTGAATTTCCGCCTGTAAGATGCTTGGGTATGTTTCCAAGCTTTCAGAGTGCCTGCTTCTAGGCCCATACCATCTTATTCCAATTCCTTCTATGGTTTTTGAACCATCCTTATACGGTGTCTTTCGGTTGCAAGCGCGATGGATTATTGGCTCCATTCTTTCTTGCAGCCCAGCTCTGTGATTTTGAAGTTTTTCACAAAATTGTACTTCTTTTTCGTTTCATCCTGGGACATATCCCAAGTATCTTTGGTCCTGAAACTAGTAGACTTTCTTTTCATAATACGGTGGTAGTTTCAACGGTTTATATTTTTGTTCTAGTTGTGTTATCTTATTTGTATTTTGTGTATGATTTTATATTAGCTGAATCTGCTTTAACAAATCCAGGATTCAATTCAATACAATAAAAGAAATCTAAACAAAATTGTATAAATTAATTTCATGTTTAAACTGACATATATATGATGTTTCTATAACTTGGTTTGTTTTGGGGAATATAATGATGTTGCAAATATTTTAAATGCGCAGGATACCGCCTAAATGTAATTAAGACGTTTAGGTTTGAAACCAATTTTACTGCAAGTAAATATAGTACTCATATTCAATTACATGCACATTATAAATGTTTACTTGCCTTTTAATTTACCTACCTATCCAAGTAAAAAATAAAAAATATACCAACAGAAAAAATAATTTATGAAGATGTTTCCACCATTTAATTTTTGAGGTCGAACCACCATTAAATGGGCGCTTATTTTCGCAAAACTCAAATTTTGGCGTATTATAAAAAATGGTGCAGGTCAGTTTTTCTGCAACGGCACGCCTCTGCAACTCGTATATTCGACAGGTTTTCTACTTCCTCTTCTATTTGTTTTAAATTATATCATGCCCTGTATATATCACCGATATAACTGCATTCATAAATAAATAATAATGCAATTCTCAACAGATTTATTGATTGTATTTTACTTAAACTACTTAACTTTAGCAAGACTACCAAAAGGACTTTTTTAAAATGTGTACAGGTTTTAATAAACAATTCAAATTCTTTAAGATTGGTTAATTTAAAAATTACGCATATACAGTGTGTGCCATAAAGTTGGATCTCTATGGAATTTTTTGTTAATGTTACTCGTATTATTGGAAAAAACGTAGAGAAATCAACTCGACTTATTAAAAATTAAAAATAGCCCATATAAAAATTGGCTACTGACAATTATATTCTGTCAAATTCGCATTTAAACAAAAATTAAACGATTTTTTAAAAAAATACCGACTGACAGATATCTAAAGCCTTGGTTTCTTTGAACACTTCGTCGCGGTGAGCGGACACTCCGTCAACCGTCGCGTTTTGACGATTTTATCCAACCAGAGTATTTAAATGGGAATGGTTTTCTTAAATCCGCTTAGCTGAGCAGGACGGCGTCATGCCGCTGATTTGTCGCGAAGAGTCGGTTGATATCTGTTGAGTTTGATATCAGCGGAATCGTCGGCGTGTGCGGAGACTATATTGTTATTAATTTTAAAACAATGAGTGACAAATTCACACATACAGATGACATCATGACTTTATTTTTAGATTTCTTGGAAATTATGTCCCTTATAAAACTCAACACGAATTCAAAAAGATCTGTAGAAAGTCCAAAATACTCCCTAAATTTGGTTTCATTTCCAAAAAGCCTCCGCTGCACAGTGATATTAAAGGCACCTTCTGTATCGCGATACAAAAACAACTCATCCACTGGCTTATTGGAAACTTTGACGGTTGCAATTGCCAGTTCCTCTTGTTCTTCCTCTTCCAACAATAATAACAACGCAAACAATTTATTTGCATCCATTTTAGTACCTTTCGTTTACATTCATAATACATAAACAGCACGTACAGACATAGAGAAAGTATCATTTTCTATATTTTTTAACAAACCACCTCGGGCGAAAATTGCTGTCCTCGGCGGTCGACGGACTGTCCGCTCACCGCGACGAAGTGTTCAAAGAAACCAAGGCTTAATGCAGTACCTACCTAGCCAACCTTAATATAGACTGTTTTAAATTTTAAAAAAAGCAGAGGTGAATGTCCTACGACGTTTTTTTCTAATCGTAATATTTAAAAAACCCTCTGGATCCAACTTTACACACTGTATATTGCCTATTTTGGTTTAATTTTTATAATAAATATCTACTAGACAAACATCTAAAAAGTACTATTTTTGATAGTAAAAAGCACTATAAACATATTGTACCAATAAATATCTAACATCTCAACTTGTTTTTATTGCAAATTTCAAAAATTATTAGGAATGCTTTATGATAATTTTTGTTGGGAATTCCATTTTCAAAATAATTTCAAATACCTACATAAGGTCTCTTTTGCGACATGTAAGTAATAGGTACCTATAATAAAAGTAATCTTTTTAATTTATTTAGGTAGGTACTCTAACATTCATACTAATATTTAATTAAATGAGCGTAAAAACTTTGCCGGCAGCACGTGGACATAAGTAAATATTTGTAAACACGCTCACCTGTGTCGAATACGGCTGACAGCTCAACCTGATTCCATCCTGGCTCAATTTCTCCCTCAACAGCACCTTCAATTGCACCCTCGGTATCTTCACCAGCTCTGCCTTTCCCTCTTCATACTCATCCAAATATTTCGCCACTTCTTGTCCACTTTCCGCAGAAGAGGAAGCTCCAGGTGAAGCGTTCACCCGCGTTTCTTTCTCAGACCTTCCCGATGATGTTCTGGAAGATCTGCTGGCACTCACATCGTCACAAAAACACTCATCGTGAATCGCGGCACTCTCCTCGAGGGTGAAATACACGGAAGCGGCCCCTTCTTCGCGAAGGGTACGTACTGATTGCAACAACCTGCTCCGGTGCACGGGGTTGAACACACCGATTGCATCAAGGTCGGGGTCGCCAACTTGCTTGCAGATTTCAAGATCATCGTAACCGTTGTCTATGAAACTTTCGGCGTATTGGCCGAGGTGCAGGGACCTCAGCCATTCCGCAACGATGTTGCCAGACATGGTTTTCGGCGTATACATCCGCACTAAACGCGAGACTAACGCGGTGTGATCGCAGAACGGTTGTACGAGTTTCTTCTGATGTTGAAAATGCCGGTATTCTCTCTTGATTCGCTACGTTGCCGGCTCCTGCCAGCTAAATCCCGCAAAGAAATGTGTACTATTCATGAGCAAGGTAAAATATCAGTAGGAATGTTATTTTTGTTTTGTAATGTAAAATATTTTAATTTTATAAAAAAACATGATATTGAAAGGTAATAAGTAAACATCAGAAATCAATAGAGAACACTTACCTAGGGTCAGTGCACTGGTTTTCGGCCTTTTAGCGTAAAAATCGACTTTATCAGCAAATAGATATAGAGGATGTCTTTAAATTGTAATTTGTTGTATACAAAAATGTCCGTTGGAGTGTTTTCAAGGGCTTTAGAAATTGATTTTTTTTGTGTTTTTAACTTTAAAGTAATTAAACATTAAAAACTAAAAAAAGTGTGTATTTGTTGGTTCTCAGCCATCCCTCACAGTTCTCGGCCAATTTTATATTAGTTCTCGGCCACAAAAAATTCTAATAATAAATTTAAACTTTTATATTTTTTTAATTTAGTTTATAGATTATGTGCCATACATTCGTGGCGTTAATTTTCAAAAACTATGGTTATTTTTACACAAAAGTTAAATAATTACAAAAAATTAAATTGATGACCATCTAAAGAGAATTACATGCTTTGGAATGTTTTCTTTAATTAACCAGTTATTAAAGTCATTACTTATAAAAAAAAAAACATCCAATGGCATGACATCCATCCTTTCTCCGACTTTCCCAAAATTCAAAGCACTTGGTATATTATCAACGACAGGCCTAGGAGGTCTTAAATAGTGGAGGAGCCAATTTTCCTTTAGCGTTAACCAAGATTTATAATGTTTTCTTTTTTATTTCTTTGTTCTTCTGTAAAGAGATCTCGATAACCTGTTGGGCCTAAAACTTTAGCAGTAGATGGACAGAGTGCAAAAACCTGATTTATCTCCGTTGAACACTCTTCTAGGATATTAGATTATAACCTTTTTCTCGCAGATTGTTCTGTCACGGCTGCTCTAGCTTTATTTATTCCCTCGGCTTTCCTAAGGGGATTTATCCTCTCATTTAACTGTTTTTCGCAACACATCCGGTATTCTTCCGGCAAGCCTGTCCTTAATTGTATCCATTATTGGGACATTAAATATTTTACTAGCTTCCCTTATCTTCATTTTGTTGTCTCGTATTTCATTTAAGACATTTTTCAAATCTTCCTCATTTTACTGATACATCAGTCTCCTTATTTTTGGTTTAGGTCCGATCGCCTCGGTCTCTTTGGTTTTGGTTTTCTTTTTTTTTAGATCTATACCTAGCCACTGAAATAAATATATTAAAATAAACATAAAAATTCGCCAAAGGAACCACACACCCACTGTAAATATTAGTTTTCGGCCTCCAGTATTTTTCGTAGTGGCCGAGAAACGGTAGATCCCGATCACTTGGTTTTTGATGGGCCGAGAACCAAAACCACTGTATATATTAGTTTTCGGCCTCACATTTTTCGAGGTGGCCGAGAAACGCTAGTTCTCGGCCAGTAAATTTTTCAAGATATTTATGAATCAAATAAATTACAATTTATATTTAATTTACCGGCCGCAAACCAATACTTAGAAAGTAATCGTATAAATAAATACAAAAATAAAAACAGAAACATATTTAAACTTATTTTTCATAATTTTATTTATGAACAAAACATTACTTTTTAAACTAATTCTCAGCCCCTTTGGCCGAGATCTAAAAAATCATATTTTTTAATACTGGTTCGCGACCACTAGAAATTTTAACTATAAAACCAGTTTTTGCTCAATTGTGACTCAAATTTACGTAGTTTAACTCCTCCCCTACTATCTGAAACATATTGCGTGCTCCTAGAATAGAAAAATAATCAATTACTATTTCTTAGATTCACACCATTAAGCACTTTTACATTTAGGATGCATGTGTTTCCTGCTCATTGTCAGGACAAGAACAAAGCCTTTTTCCGCGCTTGTCACTTACAATACCATCCCAATCTCCACCACTTTAATAGATAAAAGAAGTCGAAGGCCGAAATCCAGTGCTGGCCGGATAACCAGTGAATTGACCCTATATTAGGACAATTAAGTAACAATAGGTACAAGACCAATTTTCTTAAACATAAAATACCTATTTGTGTCATCAAGCCTGCCTATGTAAAAATATGGGCCCCATATTTATTCCTTAAATTTGTGCATGTAAAAATATTTGGACCTGTTCGGCTCGCCTGTATATTTGGGATATTAAGCCTGCTCATGTAAAAATAATATTTGGGCCCTTACCTTTTGAATCATTATATCAAATTCAGATACGAGTTACATTTGGAGTTCGTTAAAGGTCGTCCAAAAAATTATCGCTACTTTACATTTAATATTGACAACAATATAAAAATCTGGTTCCACAGTTGACATATCCATATAGTGAAATGCAATGCATAAGAATTGTCTTTTCGGATTTAAAATAATCGTAAACGTGATAAAAGTGTTAAAAATGAGTCCTCATGGGCTTAGTAATAATAAAAGAAAATCAGCAATGCATTGGGACAGTATTTCATAGGTCGTATACGAGGAACGAAATTTTTTCAAAATTAAATTTTCCACTTTTTTTGACTCCTCTAGGTTTAGGAATATATTCATAAATTTCCTTGATTAGTTTGATAAAATAATTCTCAAACATCAATAACAATAACTATACCAATATTAAAATAAGTGATGGAAAAAATTACTTATCCGGATAGGGTTGCCCGTTTATTTCATAATTTTTCCAAAGATGCTCCCTTAAAAATGCTTTATACAACACATGACAGTTATGACTGTCATTATTGATGTCATTTTAGACAAGTAAACTATCAAATAACACACTAGTGTATTATAATCCATAACTCACTAGTGAGATCCATAACTCATTAGTGAGTTATGGATTATATAACTTACTAGTGAGTTATGAATTATAACGTTCATATTTAAAGTCGAATTCTATTTATTTATTACTATTACAAGCAGAATTCACATTGATATTGAAATTAAAGGAAAACGCTAACGGTTTATTCGAATTTGAAGTCATTGTAAAATTTGTTGGTTCATTGGAACCATGGAACCAGACGCTCCCATATCGGTACAGCTGCTGATAGTGCTGGAAGACGCCGACACATAAGAACCTTGTATTTTTTCTACAATTTGTATTTTGTTTTGCACCGATTCTTTTAGGTATCCTTCTGCTACCGTCGAGGAATTCCATCCTCCGTGACGCTTCAAAGTAGTCATGTTAGCCCCTGCATTGACCAAAAGAGTCGTCGAAGACCGGTGTAGAGCGCTGGTAACTCCAATTTCAAAAACATTGCAATTCTTGAAGGTATCTTCGACAACGTATTTATTCCCACGTACTGGCTGGTATACCTCCCATTTTTGTGAAAAACCAAAAAGCGGCTAGAACTAGTATTCTTTGGTCTCAAAGACATATTTTTTACTCAAATTGATGGGGTTGACTGGAAATCCTTCTTCAAGTATGGTGAAACTTCTCGATTTCTTGGATTTAGTGCCTGGCAAAACTACGTAAAAATATTTTCCTTTGTCTTGAATATTTTCTATTTTTAAGTTGACCAATTCATCGCATCTACAAGCACCGCTAATCCCCATTATCCATAGCCACTTTCATTAACAAATACTCGTCGTCCGGAGCTTCGTTCAAAAACTTCTCTTGGACTTCTTCGGTTTGTATCCCTGTGATTTGCTTTTCAAAAAGCTTAATTTGCCATATTTTGAAATGTCGACTTTTTTATAAAGGTGAATAGTCGAGCGAAGCATCGAGTATTTGTTCCATAACGACGATTTGGCCAATTTTTTTGCAAATGTAAAAAATAAGCCAATAGAACACTTTTATCGATACCTTTTATCTTCCGTGAATTCATCCAAGACTCAACATTTTGAACTCCTTGTCGTAAGCATCTCGGGACTTTTCTGGCAAAATCTGCTTCTTCCGCTTAGGTAAGGATATCCCCAGGAACGTAATTTTCATCGGTTTTCTCCATTTTCTATACGTTGTTTTCTTCAAAAAAACTTTCCTTTTCTACAGGGAAAACTGACAAATGTCAAAATTTGTTTATAACAATGTACATTGCCCGTGGCAACCAAACAAACACCCTACTTTGACCAAAATGTAAAAAAGTCACTGTCAAGTCATGCTGACATTTATAGGGTACTGAGACGCAAGTAAAACTTATTAATTATTATCTCATAAAAAAACGATTTCTTCCACTTGTGTGTTGGATAAAACATTGCATGTTATGTTTGCTAAGTCACTTGAGAATCTTTCTTGCGTGACTTATTTTCAATATAACACACACTAGTACCATAAATAACTATTAACTACTACAACAAAAATACCTTCTTTGAACACTTTGTCTCCTTATGTTTTCCATTTAGAATATTCATAAGTGTAATCGGCTCTTATAGTATTACTTTGTACGTCATCAGCTTTAACTATTATTTATAAAAATGTACGATAAAACATAATTTTATTGAAAACTCATTTAAAATGTAAACAAGATATTGAGTTCCGCCTTTTTTCTGGAAATCTGTAATTCCCAAAATGAGTTAAACAACTTTATTAGGTGAAAACAGAAACACTGATATGGTAAAAAAACAAATAAGATTAGATTAATTAGGTGTCGAAATAAGAATGGACGCATATCTTAGGAATCGTTTGTCATACAAATCTCAGATTATTTTATTAACAAAAGTGTTTCCTGAAAATAGCTGGAAATTATTTTTTAAGTTTCTAACTTCGCGACTAGGGGACCTCATAATAATAAAAACAGGCTTTTCTTAAACAAATGCCAAATTAAATTATGTCGAAAATGTGAATTTCGTAATATGTCCCAAATTTTAATCAATTTTGACTACCCACTCATTTATCTATTTAGCATTGGCCGTAAGCGTTACTCTATCTAGTGTATGAGTCTGTAACTTGAAAATAATTTTCACGATTCCTCTTAACGACTTTTCTATTTAAATTTTTTTTTCAAAATTTCACCACACAAAATTTATATTCCTTTTTTATTTAAACACCCGGTACATTACCAGTGGCGACGCT